AGCTGACTGAGCCTGTCTGAAATGACGACCTCTACCGTGCTGGAACTGACCCCCAAAAGGAGCACCGCTGAATCCACCCTGACCACGAGGCCTCTTTGCCTCCCGCTCAACCCTCTCCTGACCGTGAACCATCTCAATCTGTCGAGCAATGTCGACAACCTCATCAAAGGTAGCACCTGAAACCTGCTCCCTGGTCATGGGCAACTGTAGTTGATAAGTGAGGCCATCAATAAACCTCATGATCCTCTCTCTGTCTGTGGGAACCAACGAGATAGCATGACGGGCTAACTCGGAGAACCCCATATCATACTGTGTCACAGACATATCACCCTGGCGAAGCCGCTCAAACCGTCTGCGCAGCTCCTCTCTGCAGGATCGAGGCACGCACTTCTCCAAAAAGACCACGGAGAACTGCTGCCAAGTAAGGGGTGTTGCGCCAACAGGCCTACGTCTCTCGTAAGTCTCCTACCATCTGAGTGCAGCCCCAAAAAACTAAAAGGTAGTGAATGAGACCCCACAAGTCTCCAAAATACCAGCAGTACGGAGTATCCTCTGACATCTGTCAAAGAAGTCCTGAGCATCCTCTCTCTCTGTGCCATTGAAAGGTGGTGGTTGGAGTCTCCCAAACCTCTCCAACCTACGCTAATCATCCTCAGGCATAGCAGGAACCACATAATCCTGAGAAACTATAACCGGCTAGGCTAATGGTGCATCCGGTGTCTGAAGTCCCTGAATAACCTGCTCGGGTGTGCGAACCACGGGAGTCTGAGTACCTCCCCTGGCCTGAGAAGTGGATGTGGCCGTCGAGATAGAGACCGCCTGAGCAAGGCCGGTACATGCTGAGAATCTGAGCTAGGGCCTCCTGAAGGCCTGGAATCACAATAGACACAGGTGGTTCCTGAGCTGGTGCATCAACAACTGGAACCTGGTCCTGATCTGGGACAAACGGTGGATCTGCAGGTACTGCCCCAGCTGCTGTACGGGCTGCACCTCTGCCTCTACCACGGCCTCTACCGTGGCCTTGGCCTCTCGCGGCCCTGGCTGGTGGTACTGGTGGTTGGCCCTCCTGACCGGTAGTACGAGTCCTCACCATCTGTGAGAGTATAAAACAATAGATGTTTAGTTACTAGAATCAACATATTCGCATGATAAGAATTCAAGAATGTGGAGTTTCCTAAAGGTTCTGTAGCCTCTCGAAGATAAGTACAGACGTCTCCGTACCGATCCGCAAGACTCTACTAAACCCGCTCATGACTCGTGAGACCTATGTAACCTAGGCTCTGATACCAATCTGTCATGACCCAAATTAACCCCTGTCGTGATGGCGCCTATCGTGGAACTAGGAAAGCCGACTAATTTCCAAAACAAACTAATATTTTCATTTCAAAGATAATTTCAATGTTATTTAACACAAAAACCTTCGTAAAGGAGTTCCAATCAAAATAAAAGTGCGGAAGGAAAAGCCTGACATCGGGGTGTCACTAGTCATGAGCATCTACTANCGTAAAGGAGTTCCAATCAAAATAAAAGTGCGGAAGGAAAAGCCTGACATCGGGGTGTCACTAGTCATGAGTATCTACTATAATTTGTCTAATAATATCAAGGCTAACTCAGCCTGGAAAATAGCTAAATACAACTAGAGGAAGATAAGAGGGAGAAGAGCAGGGCTGCGATCGCCAGGCAGCTACCTTGCTATCCCCGGGAAAATCTGCAATCAGAACAATCAACAACCGCTACCGTGTCCAGCTACATCTGGATCTGCACACAAGGTGCAGGGAATAACGTGAGTACGCCAACTCAGTAAGTAACAACAATAAATAAAGACTGAGCAGTAGTGATGAGCAATAAAGCATATAACGTTCATATCAGGAAAAACTCAGTAAAATACCACATACTTTTAAAATTAGTATTTGAATCAAAACATCTCGTTTAAACCTTGTTCCAGTAAAAAAAAGAAATCATTTAAAGATATTTTTCAACGGTTTTCAAACAGAGGAAAAATGCAAAGGTGAGAAAAAATGATGAAATCATAAACAGCCCCTCGGGCAAAACATCATTCATATACAACCCCCTCGGGCAAACCTTACAGTCACTCGTGTCACTCGGGCATACCTCACAATCACTCTTGCCACTCGGGCATACCTCACAATCACTCTTGCCTCCCAGTCACTTAGCACTTGGCACTCGGCACTCGCACTCAGTAGGTACCTGCGCTCACTGGGGGTCTGTACAGACTCCGGACGGGCTCCTTCAGCCCAAGCGCTATATCAAGCCAAATCATGGCATAAATCACTCAGGCCCTTGGCCGATATCAAACATGCTACGGCGTGCAGCCCGATCCCATAAATATGTAACATGCTACGGTGTGCAGCCCGATCCCATAAATATCCTCACAAATCAGACTCTCGGCCTCACTCAGTCATAAACCTCTCAAGCCACTCGGGCATTTCAGTAAAAATAGGGCATTCGGCCCAAAAAAATATTTATATGCATCAAAATAGAGTCTTAAAACTGAGTTATGCAGTAAACAAGTATAACCATGACTGAGTATAGATTTTCAATCGAAAACAATGAGAGGATAGTAAGAAAAGGCCCCTAAGGGTCCAAACAACACTGGCACAAGGCCCAAACATGGCATTCAGCCCAATTTACAGAAACTCTTTCAAAAACATATAAGTATCATATAGTTTCAACAAAGTATGCAACTTTATAGTTGCTATGGGATGGACCAAGTCACAATCCCCAATAGTGCACGCCCACACGCCCGTCACCTAGCATATGCGTCACTAAAAATAGTAGAATAATATAAAATCTGGGGTTTCGTACCCTCAGAACTAGATTTACAATCGTTACTTACCTCGAACCGGTCAAATCTCTATCCCGCAATGCTCTTGCCTCTGGACTCGGCCTCCAAATGCTACGTATCTATTCACAATCAGTACAATACCAACAATACGCACTAATGGAATGAATTCCACAAGAAAAGCTACAAATTAGACCAAAACCCGAAATTGGCTCAAACTCGGCCCCCGTGCCCTTGTCTCGAAATCCCACAAAATTCCCAAAACTAGAAAGCTCATTCACTCACGAATCTAACCATACCAAATTCATCAAAATCTAACATCGTTTGGTCCTTCAAATCCTTAAATTACTCTCCAAAAATTTCAAGCCCTAACCCCTCATTTTCACTAATTACATGATTAAACAACGGAAAATCACCATTTATACGAGTATTAGGGTTCAAGCAACTTACCTCACTGATAGCCCTTGAATCACCCTTTAAATATCACTCCAAAATCTCCAAAAACTGACTTGAAAATGGTGGAAATGAACCAAATTCGCGAAGGGTTCTATTTAAGGTTTATGCACAGGTTTTTCGCACCTGCGGAAAATTTCACGCTTCTGCGCCACCGCACTTGCGAAAAATCCATCATAGGTGCGGAACTCACTTAGGAGCCCAGCTTCCGCATCTGCGACCCAAAACCCCGCTCCTGCGAAGGCGCACCTGCTCGTTTCCTCCGCTTCTGCGAAGCCTGCCCAGCATCCCCCTTTCCGCATCTGCGCCCCAGGTTTCGCACCTGCGGGCTCGCAGATGCGACCTCCAACTCGCACCTGCGCATCCTGCCTAGCCCAGCATTGCCAGCACCTGCGAACTCCCCACGCGCACCAGCAGTCTCGCACTTGTGACTCTTTCTTCCGCAGGTGCGAAAATAGCAGTAGCAACATCTTCATCTGCATTTTCCAACTTCGACAAATCCGTTAACCACCCGGAATCACCCCGACGCCCTCTGGATCTCAACCAAAAATACCAATAAGTCATATATCAACATACCAACTTAGTCGAACTTTCGAATCACTCAAAACAACATCAAAGCATCAAATTACTCTCGGATTCAAGCCTAAGAACTTTTAAATTTCCAAACTCGGCAACCGATGCTGAAACCAACCAAACCACGTCCGAATGACTTCAAATTGTTTACACACATCACAAATAACACTATGAACCTACTCCAACTTCCATAATTACTTTCCGACCCCGATATCAAATTTTTCACTGCCGACCGAAATCGCCAAATTTTCAATTTCGCCAATTCAAGCCTAATTCTACCACGGACCTCCAAATCATATTCCGGATGCACTCTTAAGTTCAAAATTACCTAACGGAGCTAACGGAACCATCAGAATTTAAATCCGAGATCGTTTACACATAGGTCAACATCTGGTTGACTTTTCCAACTTAAGTTTCTATTTAAGAGACTAAGTGTCTCAATTCATTCTGAAACCACTCTGGTCCCAAACCAACTAACCCGATATAACATAATATAGCTGAATAATATAAAAAGAAGTAGAAATAGGGAAAACGGGGCTATAACTCTCGAAACGACCGGCCGGGTCGTTACACTTACGTTTATGTGTTAAGCATGAGAGTATTATATTAGCTTTGTTGGCTTATGTTAACTGTAGCGTTGTATGTGTATGTACTTTAACACTAACGATATCATATATTTGTTCAGCCCTCATTGACAACATTCTTTCACCCAAGCCTTTAGTCACTGTTGCTGTAGTTGTGCCAGTTTCGTCTGTGATTTCCACCTCAAAGTGGCACCTATGATATGGTATGTTGTAAATTATTTTAGTTGAGGTAAAATTGATGGCACACAATATCAAATATTGTCAATGCATCATCTTATTAGTAGCAGTTGTTACCTTAGAATTAACATTCGTTGCAGTCTGCAGTTTATGCATTGAGCCTCTCTTTTTATTTTGCTCAGAACAAGATAATTACATTCATAACAACCTAGCAGATAAAATCGTTGAAAATGCTCAGGTAGCGAAATTTCTCCTTCGACGTAAAAAATTTCCGCCTGCAAAATGTAAATGATAAAACAAGTCGTTAGTTTTATGTTTATAACATAAGTAGTGGAACCTGCTAACTCATTAATTGTTAATTGCATATAACTTTCAGCAATCAAATAATACAAAGTTACATAGTTAGTAAAACCTCATGAGAAGTGTGTTGTGACAGTAAAATGTAAAAATTCGTTAACTAATTTTATGTAAAACTAAGTTGAAAACTATTCTGCTTGATATTAGAATAGATTTCTTTGAATCAACAGCCTCTTTCACAAATATTAACATGACATATGATACAAATAGGATGTGATATAGTGATCAAACTTTTAAAAAACATTTCAGAATAAATTTAATTGTGAAGCGAACAATATATAACTTTAATGTAAGAGTTTATTCCAGAAATTTATACTCTAATATTGTTTAAACCATATTGTTACTGAGGCAATACGAACAGTAGCATATTAGAACATATTGAACAGTTATCCATATTGTATAAAAGATACGCAATAGCATAGTGCAGTGTGGCAGTTTTTATTATTTTCTTTTGTAATTTAATGAACTCACAGTGGAGGTTTGCATAGCGATAGTTGAAACAGATAATATTTTATCGTCAACAACTACAAGATTAAGTGATGAAGCTGACTCCGTTGAACTCTTCATTGTGTATTCGATTAGCATTTGTTTGTTCTCATTTGCCATGTAATTCGCACGGGAAATCTCAGACAATTGCTTTTTCACAGAAGTAACAGTATTTAAATAATGATGTGGTACATTTTAAGCACAATTTGTATTGTACCAATTCCGTAATTCAGTTGCTTGCACATATAGGGGATTGATTAAGATTGTCGAGTTGTATCTTGTTGCCGAACGGGAAACTGTGTATGCAAATTTTGTTAATAAACAATGGGGAAGCATTATCCATGTGTAGAAACAGGAACTTCATAAGCTTACCACCATCGTATTTTGTGGTAGCTATCCGTTTCGCGACAATAACAGGGCATTCTTGCAGTTGCCTCACTTGTCTCAGTAACTCAGTTCTTTCGTTGCTTGCCAAGTCTTCCCATATAGTGAAGAAAAGAAGTTTCTTCCTGTTATATTTATAAGTGTCACCTAGAGATTTTGTTATGTAATAGAAGATTAAATGACTCACTTGTTGTCCATAACTACGGCCTCTTGAAATCTCTTAGTCTGATCAGCGGTGTGTTGCATTGCCCCACAGTTTTCCACCACAGCTAATAGATCTATTGTTATAAACAAAAAAACAAATATTTGCATTCACCATGAGCTCCAAGCAATTAAGTTGTTATAAGGTATAGGGTAATTTGAAACATACCAAATTCAACACCGCAAGGCTGTTGTTCAAGATCAAGGAACGAAAATGTACTCAGTCTCGACAGAGGAGGTAACGGTGCCTCATTTTCATTATTGTTTGGAATAGACTCCACAATAGTGAATATGTCGACGTCCCATTCAAACTGGCTGATATGTAGTGAATAAGGCTACGGATTTCTAACTTTTGCAGTTGAAATCAGATACGTCTCAAAAAATTTGAACAAGTTATCACAGCGTCTAATATCATCACCATAGAGTATTACACAAATTTGTTCCTCCTATAATGTTATTAAGAACAATAATGCAGTAATTATTGGAAGAGTGCAAGTGAGAAGATATTATGTTACAATTATAGTTGTAACCTGACTTATGTTTTCATCCTGGACAAATATTGTCTGAAAACGAACTCGCTGATCTCTGCTGTCTCGCGGCCGAAATTTGTCTACAGTCTGGACTTTGCAAGTCCATTCTGTATTTAATGGTGTAATTTCACTGATACTAAGTATTTATTCCATTTTATCAATATAACCTGCATATTGATATCCGTAAAATTACAGAAACAAATCATCCCACATTACAAATATGAGTCAGCCAATAAAAAAAACAAAAAAGAAGTAGATATAAAATTTATGAGAGAAATTCAATATTAATTACAAACCAGTTGGAGAAAGACTGTTATTCCACAAAACACATTGCAAGTATGAGTACAAAGAAAGCTTCCACTCTGATGGGGAATTCATTTTAGCAGGGAAACTATTTCTACCTTGTACTTGTAAATTTTTTGAAAGTTATTTCCGCTCTGCTCCAGTTCTGTATCGCTTACTCCTATGACGTTTGAATATATTCATACTCCACTTGCACATTGGGATAGTTGCAAGAAAAGACACAGTATGCTTTTACACAATGAGCTCAGAATTCACATTTTCTGATAAAAAAAAGACAATGAGCTCAGAATGACCTCCAAATCGTTTTTCGTCAATGAACAAAAATCCCAGCTTTCTACCTGCTCTTTTCATAAACTAAACAAAACTTAGCTTGGTAGAGAATTCCCAGAGCAAGCATATCAATACCCTTTCCTCTTCATACATAAGAAAAACTTAATTTTTAGATTATCCATCAAAAGAGTTTGCATACCATTATGTTCAATATTGCTGATTTAACCCCCTATGGATGGCCCAAAATACCACTAAAATTTCAACTGATATTAAAAATTGAACCCATATTTTCAATTCAATGGACAACCAAGAGTACACTGCGAAGCTATTGAAATAATTGGCATCCTCTATTTTTGTTAGTTTTTTTTATTGGGGAAATCTACATTGAACGGGAAGGTGCAGAGAACTTCGATTAGTGGAGGTCTCATAAATAGCAGCAAAATCGCTACCAAAGCAATATAGAGCTCAAATAATGTCAACTAAACTGATGAAATACTGATAAGAAATTTAATACTAACCTGATACTATACTTTGAATTTGGTTTGAATGGTGCCTTTTTTTAGAAAAATCATATTAGGTAATTTCATGGATGTACCTAAAATCTAACTTATTGTTAGTGGGTAATTATTAATTTATAAAATCAGTATTTTTTAGTATTAGTCTGAAGTTTCATGATCTATAGAAGAAAACTTAAACACCTATAGAGCAATAGAGGAAAGAATAATTATTTTGGGTGCTAATGATAACTCCAGATTGACATAATTTTAGGAGAATTTATTTTTTGAGTCTTTTATTCATCCTTGACTGTTAAAACCAAAGATGCAAAATATGAAATCTTAACCCTCACACCTCCTATGTTGCTTTTTCCAACCAGAAAAAAAGAGAAGGAACAAGATAGCTTAGTTTTTCCTTTTCTATGTGATTGTGACTAACCCCCGTATACATTGATGCTGGAAAAATAAACTGAATAGAGTTAGAAATCACAAATTGTAGAAATCATAAAACGGGTATTCAGAGGAAAAGAAGGGAAACAAAATCAAACCAAGGAAGAACCAAAACAATTACCAAATAAGTATAAAATCAAACCAAGGAAGAACCCAAATAATTACCAAATAAGTATAAAGATTCGATTACCCGAAAAAATAGATAAAGCAGAAAGGAAAGACACACAGTGAAAAAAGGAAATATCCCCAAAATAAGAGTTCATACCGGTGAATAAATAAAGGAACAACTGAGTAATAAAATAAAAGTACTTCAGAAGAAGCAACCACAATTGGAGAATGAAGCAGCGATGGGTGTTTAGAAAATGGAAAAGATGAATATTTTGTTAGTAGAAAAATAACAATTAGACAAGAAGCACAGTAGGAAAAGATTAGTTAAATTTCAGGCTTAGCAATGGAAAAAATCCAAAGAAATTAGGTTTAAACTCCAATTTTACAGCTCAAAATTAGGTTAAAACATATAAATTTGCCAAGTAAACAATTAGGTAAAGCATATAAAAAGAAGAATACAGAGCAACACCCATAAATCGCAGCAATTTTAAACCTTTTTCCGAATAAATAACAGGTACAACAAAATATAAAACAAAGACAAAGAACAACAAACTAACCAACTCAGTTGTGAAAACAAAGAGGATGTACACAGGGAGAGCAGAGCAGATTAATCACTTTAAGATATAAAAAAATCTGAAATAAGCAGAGAAAGAAGAAACCCCAATATTAAGCGGTGGCCATAGAGGTAAATGTCCAGGTGTAATGTTGTTAATATCAGCGGAAGATCTAAAATAGGCTTTGAAAATACCCCAGAAATTTTCATTATTTACAAATTTCTCTGATGGCAATGAACGTAAAAATATTGAAAAGCAGGGGCAAAAATATAAAAACTTAAGCTGGCATGTCGACGAAGACGTGTCTGTGTCAGCTGATGCACTCGCACTTCTAATATAGTATATATTGTACATTTTATTTCCAATTAAAACCTGCCATCTTAGTAATGAAGCCCTACACCACGACGAGAGAATACATGTGATGAAGAAATAATTTGTTCTCCCTATTGAATTACATGATTTCAAGACTCGACCCCAAATGAGGAGTACGTGATACTACTTTGTTTTGAGCTTATGGATTCACGTTTTTCATTTGTTAGCCGTTATTATTGTTTTTAGGCTATGACTTATATGTGGTCATTTTGTGGCTATCGGATATTATAAGTTTGGCCCGAGTGGCCAGAAAGGCACCTACTGATTTTCTCTTCAACTCCTCTTTCTTCTGTTGGGAAAACTAATAATCCCGCTCAGGAATAATATCCATGACAAATAATAATAACACAAGAGAGTAACAACGACACCAACTATTTTAATGGGTAAAATACAATACCCGAGCGGAGCAATATAACCACTATAATATTACAACTTAATAGTGTCAAGAAACTACTACAATCTTGAAAGAAATAACACTCTTTATTTAAAATATCTCACTACAATATTACTCACTATTTATCTTACAGACTACAATATGTGGATTACTCTCTCTAACTTATATTGTTTCTCTCTTATTTTGGTGTGATTGAAATGAAGAATTGAGGCCTTTATTTATAGTAAGAGATGCCATTCAACTACTACAAAGAAGATGTCTTGTTATTAATTTAGTCCTATAATTTTTCAACAAAGTTAGGCACCTCCCATTTTCTTCAATAAAGTTAGGCACCTCCCATTTTCTTCAACAAAGTTAGGCACCTCCCATTTTCTTCTTTATTTTTCTTTAATATGAGCCTCACAAATCTCTCCCTTAATTTTGATTTTTCTTTTTCATTTCAAGACTTGATCTCAATATTTGAAAATCCTCAAACTTAAGAGGTTTTGTAAAGATATCTGCAGCCTGATCACGAGACTTCATACATATTTGAGCTTGACTTCCTTCTTGGCAATGCACTCTTTGATGAAGTGATATCTTGTATCTATATGCTTGCTTCGATCATGATACATCGGATTCTTGGCGAGTGCCTGTGCAGATTTGTTATCAATACAAATCTCTGTAGCTTCAATTTGTGGCAACTAGGTAGAGGTAGGAGCTTCCATGAAGCGGCTTACTACTCCAACTGCAAAAAGTATATCTGGCCTGGTACAAGTCAAGTACCTCAAACTTCCTACAAGACTTTTGAAAAATGTGGGATCAATATTTTCCCCTTCATCAAACTTAGACAATTTTGTCCCACTCTCTATCGGTGTATTCACGGGGTTACAATCGAGCATGTTAAACTTCTTCAAGATCTCCTTTGTATAGCTTTCTTGAGAGATGAAAATTCCATCCTTCATCTGCTTCACTTCTAGGCCCAAGTAGTATGACATGAGCCCTACATCTGTCATCTCGAACTCACGAGACATATCTTTCTTAAAAGGTTCAAACAAACTTGTATTATTACCCGTGAAAATAAGATCATCAATATAAAGACAAACAAGTAAGATATCTCCATTAGTATGAGCTTTAAGGTAAAGAGCATATTCATGGAGACAATGAGTAAACCCATTGTCTTGAAAATACTTGTCGATGCAACTATTCCATGCTCGTGGGGCTTGCTTTAATCCATATAAAGCTTTCTTCAACCGCAATACTTTATCTTCATGGTTTTTGACCACAAAGCCCAATGGTTGTTCAACATAGATTTCTTCTTCAAGATAGCTATTCAAAAAAGATGACTTGACATCTAGTTGATGGATCTTCCACTTCATTTGCATCGCCAAAGAGATAAGCAAACGAATCATCTCCATGCGGGCAACAGGTGCATAGACTTCTTCATAGTCAATGCCTTGTCTTTTCTTGTAGCCTTTAGCCACAAGTCGTGCCTTGTATCTCTCCACATCTCCATCAATATTCTTCTTTGCTTTGTATAACCATTTAACTCCAATTGCTCGATGACCCTTGGGAAGTGTTGTTAACTCCCAAGTGTTGTTCTTCTCTATTGACTCGATCTCCTCCTGCATGGCTTGTATCCACCTTTTATCTTCAACAACTTTATCAAAGTTTATTGGTTCACTATCAGCAAAGAGACAATATAAAAAATCAAAATTAGTAACTACCTTTATGTCCTCATAGAGTTCTTGAATACTCCTTATCCTTTGCGATTGTTCATTTGAACTTTCTTGAGAAGAGGGAGATGCCACATTTGTTGGAGAAAGAGGTAAAGTTGTATCCTGCACAGGTTCCATGGTCTCTGGTTCTTCTTCATCACCAAAGTATGGAAGAAAATCATATGAAGTTTCTTCCTGAGTTTTCCAGTTCCATGCCAATTCTTCATCAAATTCAACATCGCGACTTACCACCATCTTGTCGCTACTTGGGTTGTAAAGCTTGTAGCCTTTTGAACTCGTATCATAGCCAACAAACACATGCTTGACACTTCGATCGTCAAGCTTCGCTCTCCCTTGATGTGGCACATGAGCATAGTCTATGCTCCCAAAGATTCTCAAGTGCTTGACACTTGGCTTTCTTCCACTCCATACTTCTTGAGGAGTTTGATCTCTAATATTCTTTGTTGGAGACCTGTTGTTCAAATAAACTGCAAAAGATACAACTTCTGCCCAAAATTCCTTGGGCATATTTTAGCTTTTAACATACATCTAGCCATATTAAGAATCGTTCAATTCTTTCTCTCTGCAACTCCATTTTGTTGGGGTGAATAAGGTACCGTTAGAGGAAGATGAATTCCATGAGATTTACAAAAGTCATTAATTTTTTTTGAAGTGAATTCGCCTCCTTTATCGGACCTTAAAGCTTTTATTTCATAGCCACTTTCTTTTTCTATAAGTACTTTAAAATTTTTAAAAGTAGCAAAAGCTTCAGATTTTTGGTTCAAGAAATAAACCCAAGTCTTTCTACTAAAGTCATCAATGAAAAGTAGAAAGTATTTACTTTTACCAAAGGAAGGTGGATTGATTGGTCCACACACATCAGTGTGAACAAGCTGAAGCGGTTTGGTTGATCTTGACATGGCCTCCTTTGGAAAACTCCTCCTTGCATGTTTTCCAAGAAGACAAGCTTCACACAATTGATTGGGATGGCTTATTGATGGTATCCCATGCACCATGTTCTTTTCTCCCATTGATTTGAGCGCTTCAAAATTTAATTGCCCAAATCGCATGTGTTAACACCATGATTCATCTTGTACATTAGCCTTCAAATACTTTGCATCAATTGTCTTAAGATTCAGAGAGAATAATCTATTCTTAGCCATATGCACTTTAGCAATTAGAATTTCACTTGAATCTCTAAGCCAAAGATGCATATTTTTCATGTGGATGTCATATTCCTTTTTAAGAAGTTGGCCCAAACTTAAAATACTACTTTTTAATTTTGGGACATAATAAACATCTTGAATTAACTTGTGACTACCATCTTTACAGGAGATCAGAATCGTACATACCCCTTCAATTTGAATCTTTGAGGTATCTCCAAAGGACACATTACCTCTCACCGTTTTATTGATCTCCACAAACTTCTCTTTGCATCCACACATATGATTGCTTGCTCCATTGTCCAAATACCACGAGCTGCAATCATCCTTGTCTTCTTCCTTGAGTGCCATCAACAGCGTTGACTCAACTTCTTCTTTCTTGTCATCAACAAGGTTTAGCTTTTTCTTCAACATTGCTACGATATTCCCAAGAGTAATGACCAAATTTATGACAATTATAACACTCAATTTTTGATTTGTCATACCTTTGTTCATTATTTTCTTGGTAGTAGCCACGTCCTCTTCCTCCTCTATGTCCACGACCACGACCTCTGAATGTCTGATGGATTTTAACTTCATTGTTGAAGTTGTTAGTGTTGCTTCTTCCTCTTCCATGACTACCACGGCCTCGTCCCCGTCCATTCCCTCGATAGCTCTTTTCACCTCCATAATCTTTGAAGGATGCCTGAGTTTTAAGAAGTTACTCCAATGGTACTTCTTGTCTCATCTTGATCTTTTCTTCATGGGCCTGTAAAAAAACCCTCCAATTGTTCTACCAACATAGAATCTAAATCTTTAGACTCTTCAATAGCACACACCACAAAATCAAATTTAGGTGTTAAAGTGCGAAGGATCTTTTCTACCATACGGACATCTTTTATGTCCTCCCCATATCTTCTTAATTGATTTACAACAGCCTTCACTTTTGAACAATAATCTGAAATGCATTCGGATTCTTTCATTTTTAAAACTTCAAAATCAGCCCTTAGAGTTTGAAGTTTTACCTTCCTCATCTTGTCAATTCCTTGAAGAGAATTTTATAAAATCTCCCAAGCTTCCTTTGAGGTGGTAACATCTGCCACCTTCTCGAACATGGCATCATCCAGACATTGATAGATGAGCGTGAGGGCTTGTTGATGATTCTTCCTTGTTTTTGCCGAGACATCTTTTTTATTTTGAGGCAGAGCTTCCTCATTATTGGGTTTTGCATACCTTCTATCTACGATTTCCCACACATCCTGAGAGCCAAGAATGACTTTCATACATAGACATCATTTCTCATAATTATCTTTTGTGAGACGGGGATACTGAAAGACAACGTAACATTATTTGCCATGGCTCTGATACCACGTTGTTGGAAAAACTAATAATCCCGTCTAGGAATAATATTCACGACAAATAATAATAACACAAGAGAGTAACAACGACACCAACTCTTTTAATAGGTAAAATACAATACCCGAGCGGAGCAATATAACCACTATAATATTACAACTTAATAGTGTCAAGAGACTACTACAATCTTGAAAGAAATAACACTCTTTATTTAAAACATCTCACTACAATATTACTCACACTCCCTATTTATCTCATAGACTACAATCTGTGGATTACTCTCTCTAACTTCTATTGCTTCTCTCTTATTTTGGTGTGATTGAAATGAAGAATGGAGGCCTCTATTTATAGTAAGAGATGCCATTCAACTACTACAAAAAGGATGTCTTGTTGTTGATTTAGTCATATAATTTTTCAACAAAATTAAACACCTCCCATTTTTTTCAACAAAGTTGTCAATAAAGTTAGGCACTTCCCATTTTTTTCAACAAAATTGTCAACAAAGTTAGGACACCTCCCATTTTCTTCTTTGTTTTTCTTTAATATGAGCCCCACATTTTCATCTTCAATATACGTTCCTCCAGTTCTTAAGTAGAAGATTGCGATCCAGCTTTTTCAACTGCATTATTTCGTGCCCTATCATCATCTTCATGACAAATAATTTCTTGCTTTGCCACATCCTGATAATCATAATCTTCATTATTTACTCTTTGGACATAATTCTTCCGTTTGTCCTTACTCTTATCAGTCTTGCTGTCTATGGTTGTCTCTATATTTGTCTCTTGACCTCTTCTTATCCTTTTCTTTATCCTTCTCCTTGTTGCTACCCTTGTCCTTCCCCCTCTCCTTCTCTCGCACCCACTTAGTATTCATATCTCTCTGCGAAAATAAGTAACAATATCCATGTTTATAATACTATAAAATTAAATTTGACTAGACTAGAAAACTTATTCAAATAGAATTTTACTAAACAAAACTTAACTAGACATGAATTTAATAATCTAATAAAATTATTAATTAAAGAAAAAAATAATACTGTATAACCGTTTTTAAAATAATAATTCAAAAATTACTTTTATTTTCGGCTATCGAATATAATAATTTCTTTGGGCGGGGTAAAAATAATAAAACCCCAATATTAAATCCCAGACTGTTCGTGATTCCTACTTAATCTTGGTTTAATTTAGGCGTTTGGTACCAAAAAGTGCGACTTAGATAATGCCAAGTTCTAAGTTGTTAGAATTTCAAGATAAAGAGACGTGGCTTAAACTCTCGCCAGTAAGGTCCCTCCAAAAATGTCCCTCTCTCTTCTCCGACACACACCATATCTCACCTCAACAGTTCCATTGCCAATTCAATATTTCTTCATCTCTTTTACCAAAATGCCAAAAACACGTCTCTCCACCATACGACAAAACTCAGGTGCACCAAAATTTTAGCTTAAATGTGTGTTTCTTTTTGCCTTGTAAAACAAGAGCTTTTTTTTTTTCCTTTTACAGTTTTACTTATATGTCTTTTTGGAATGAAGGGTTTATGTTATCAATAAAATTGTTTAATTTTAGGTTCTGAAGTTGGTGGTGTTGTACCTAAGAACAGAGTGAAAAAAAGGAGAGTGGAAATGATAGCTAAAGAGGTTAAGACAGAATCTCCTGATCAAAAAGTATGCTTATTTTATGATAATGATCAATTCTTTTATCGTTAAGGTTTTATTTCATAATGGTTTTTTTGGTTTTTTTTTCTCCATGTCTTTGGTGAATTTTGTGTGAAAGAAAATTTAGCTTGGATGGGAGCCACTCTGAAGTAGATCAAGAATATTTGTTAAAACAAAACTAGGCTATATACATTGACAGTTTAACGAATTTTTTACACCATCAGTGTAATTTAACCTGTTGTAATTGGTTACTTGTCATTCATACTAGGTGAAAAATCAATGCTATTAAATTGAGTAAGCTAAATTATTACTTTTTTAAGTGGTCTGATTGTGTAAATATTTTTTACACCGTCAATACATAGAACTTAAACTCGTAAATGTTCATCTGACTACTCTTGACTCTTGCGAGTGTGCTATGTTGCCTAGAGATCAAGTGAGTTAACCATCTAGTGGCCCTCTTGTTGGAAATTCTTGAAATGGGTGCGATTTAGTTGAGTAATATATGAGGGGCTCACTGCCTCGATTGATCGTTAATCCGTTGGGTTATAGAAAAGAGTAAATTTCTATTCCCTCAAAAGGGTTGTGTATTTGAGGAGAAATATTTAGAGTGTGTAATATAACTGTAGAATATTCTTGCCGATAATGTTAGTCTATACTTTAGAACAAAGAAGTTATGATATCTCCAAGTACTTGTCCTTGAGGACTGGAAATTCTCTGCTTTGTCAACTTAATATCTTGTTCCTGCCTATTATATGATCCTAGTATTAGTTTATATAGAAGCTTATGGTAGTGGCGCAGACGATGGTCAATACTGATGGATATTTCGGAAATCTTCAGGTTGAAGATTTTTCATAATTGACTAAAAAAACAATACTAGTGAAGGCTTTGTTACACGGTCTCAGCACCCTCCACTTCCACCCAAGAGGTTGTGAGTTCGAGTCACCCCAAGAGCAAGGTGGGGAGTTCTTGGAGGGAGGGAGCCGAGGGTCTATCGGAAACAGCCTCTCTACCCCAGGGTAGGGGTAAGGTGGGGTAGGGATAAGGTCTGCGTACAAACTATCCTCCCCAGACCCCACTAGTGGGATTATACTGGGTTGTTGTTGTTGTTGTCTCTTCATCTTTCCTTGACATACCTATATCCTTTTGCAGTCATATTTGACGTTGTTATTGAAAGAGTTTGAAGTAGGTATCGGAACTTTATATGGATCCTACAAGATACATTAAAAATGTAAAAAGAAAGTGAACCTACTTGTATCTTATGCATGTCCGCTATCGCGTCCATGTATTATAGGGTAAAATAGAGCATTTTTAGAACCTACTAGCTAAAACTGTAATTCTTGAATGTATCTGAGCTTCTTTCTGGATTCTGTTTTTGTTTTTTAAAGATAGCATTAAATAAATATATGAAATATAACAGGCTATTCTTCGCACCTAGATTAATAAGTTCAGGGATATGGCTTTTAGCTCCATTTCATCCGACAATTTAATTGTATTCTCAATCCAATTTGATTGTCCCATTTTGCTTCCGAAAGTTCTGGTTCACCTATCTGAGAGTGATCGAGCACATTACTAATATTGAATTAGTTATATACAAAGTTTAAGTCAAAGATGATCTTGTTATACACATAACAAGAAAATTGGGAAGTCCATTTTGTGGAAGAGGAAATTATCCTATTGTCTGTGTGCCTCACAGGCTATTTTTAGTTATCAAATACTACATGATCATTGGTTCTTGAGGTTGCGAGAGGGTAAACAAATCATGTTTTTATTTAACTTGTTGCAGTTTCTCAGGTATCCAGAAATAGAAGATTTTGCAAATAAAAGTAGCAATATTAATTCTCAGTCAAGTAAGTGCCAAGTCAATTTGCGATTCCTTGTTTTTTGTTTTTCTAGTTTTCATATTGATATGGAACTTTGCACGGTAATTTGTTAGCTATATCTTCATATAGAAAGGTTGATTCTGCTGTTGGTTATGTTACTTCCATATAGCTCGATGCATATCTATCTACTCATGTTCTGTCTAGCAAATCTAAAACCTTTTGATTACCAGCTTATGTTTAAAGACTAGTCCATTGACCTCCTTCAGGTCTAAGAAAACGCAGAGAGGTTGTTAGACTAATTCTCTCATGACGGATTTTGGGCAGGGTCACAACAACAACAAACCCAGTGTGATCCCACACAGCAGTGGGGTCTAGGGAGGGTAGAGTGTATGCAGACCCTTCCCTGTGAAGGTAGAGTAGGCAGGGTGAGGTGGAATTTTAGCCGGTTCATAATCTCTTTTATAATTTGTATTCCAAGGATGGCAAATAGAAGTGAGCATTAGATGTTGGTGGGCTGACAAGCGGAGGTATGATGTCATTTGGAAACTCTATATATGATGGTTATAAGTGGTATTGTGTTTTGACAAGACATAGTGTGTCACTTCTTACTTGTACCTGCGGCTGCATGAGCAAAATAGCGTGGCTTCACCCAAATCCCTCGTGGAGAACTACATGATCATTGTAGATTTGTATTGCCTCTCTCTCTCTCTCTCTCTCTCTCTCTCTCTCTCTCTCTGTTTTTTGTTCTTTTTTGCCTTAACATTTATTATCATGAGCATCACTATCCTCAGAATTCTTTTCTTCTTTGAAAGCATTTTCTCCTATATTACCAGTTTGCACATTGTCTTTATACCCATTTGAAAGAAAAAGGACTTTGATCTCTTATTTGTTTGTAACTGTTTGTTTATTTTTTTAAATCATTGAGGATAGTTCTCTTGTTAAAATTAACTTATGGATAGGTTCTGTAAAGGTAGTAAGACTAAAATTTTGTCAAATTTGGTGCAGTACAACCTCCTGCCAACTGGGAAAGGGTCATTGAAGGGATACGCAAAATGAGATCATCAGAACATGCACCTGTGGACTCCATTGACCCGGATGAAGGAGTGACTTCTCTTCAACCTAAGGTGCATACATCTTTGCAAACTTAATGCTTGGCTAGTAGTTGTCTTCTGGGTTAGGAGATCTAGAACCGAGTACTCGTATAAAAGAAAGAGTGAGAACGAAAGTGTCCTGTTACCTTTTTTTTATGAGTAAGCACGTATAATATTTTAACGCTTCTAATAGGATGTTAGACATTGTTGATCTTTTCGACTTAGTTATTTTGTAGTTGCTGAAAGGGTGTGGATGGCTGATGTTGATTACTATTTTCTTTTTCACTTTTATGTTCACAATCTCATCAGGAAAGAAGATTTGCTGTTCTAATTGGCTCATTGTTATCAAGCCAGACCAAGGGTCATGTTACACATGGCAAGTGTTGAGATTACTAATGTTGGAGGTTTCAGCTATATGATGCTTGTTAATAACGTGATTATCTCTTTGTAGGACTACATTCATGTTCTCTTTATGATAGGTTGTGTCTTCTGAAAGAATTAGTGACCTATCCAGATTTGTTTGCTACTACTTTTGTTATCCAAACCAATGAGAAATTTCTTGTAGCGTCTGCACTAGTTATACTCGCATGGCCTCCATAAGAATGCCTCCTAAGTACAATTTCCTTTAGAAATGTATGTGTCCGTACAATTCTGATTAATGTGGAAAACTGTTCCTCTTCCTATCATAGAGGTTACTCTGATATTTCTTTGTCATCTTACTACCTAAATTCTTTTTATTTTGTCATCAAGTTAATCATGGTCTTATACTTGATTTGCTGCAAAGATTTATATAAGGTAGTGAGATCCCTTTACTGAGTATATCAAACTCCTTGCTTTTGTAGCCAGCGACTTGATACCCCCATTTTCTTATGCCCTCATCCTCGTGAATAACTTGTCATAAAAAAAACAATTCTATCAAAATGGGATAACTAGGAGAGTAGCAATATATGATTAGCAAAAAAAGACGAGTTCGAGCTGCTCTCGCACATCCACCTTTTGATGAGATGATTACTTGAAGTCATACATTAATCTGTTTCATTGAAAGTGTTCCACAATTTTATGAGGTTGTGATATTCTTCTCTGGCTTCCTATTGGTATATAATGTTGTCCTCTGAATCTGCAGAAGCAAATCAGCGGCTCCTCGAAAATGGTTTGCTGAGTGCTGACTCAATGGATAAAGCTGATGAAGTCACCATAAAGACCTTGATATACCCGGTATATGCTCAATGATGTCCGTTTATGATATTATTGTATTCGCATTAGTCCCAAATTAATTTTTATCACTTGCCCTCATGTGGAATTGCTTAACAACTTTTATTTATCAGGTTGGATTTTACACAAGAAAGGCTCGGCACCTTAAACAAGTTGCAAAGATTTGTGTCTCTAAATATGATGGAGACATTCCTAGTACAGTAGACGAGTTGCTTCTACTTCCAGGTGTTGGTCCCAAGATAGCTCACCTGGTAGGAAGTTATGCTTCTGTCACTTTCCTTTCTCTGCAAATTTCTAAGTTATTTAAATAGCTTTTCCTTTAGGTTATGATTATGGCATGGAACAAAGTTGAAGGGATTTGTGTAGATACCCACGTGCATCGTGTTAGTAATCGGCTTGGTTGGGTCTCGCAGCCTGGAAAAAAGCAGGTATGCTTAATTCTATTCGAAGATGAGGCTTCACCGCTACAATGAGCAACTAGAAAGTGGGGGCATATGCTATGTTATATGTGCACAAAATTTTTAAACTAATTCTTTTAGTCTAGTTTAATTATAGCCTGCTAAAATTATACTCCCTCCGTTTCAATTTATGTGAACCCATTTGACTGGGCACGGAGTTTAAGAAAAGAGAGAAGACTTTTGAACTTGTGGTGTAAAATGAGGCACATATATTTTGTGTGGCTATAAATCATTGCATAAAGGTAAATTGTTTCCAAATAAGGAAAGATGTCATTCTTTTTGGCACAGACTAAAAAGGAAATAGGTTCTCATAAATTGAAACGAAGGGATTAGTAGCATTTTAGAAAGGTAAGTGTAAAACATATGTAGGAAGACCAGGAACGAAGTTCATTGGCTTGGGCCTTAGAGGCAGCGGTTGGGAAAGCAAAGGAAATAGGAGACCGGGAACGAAGTCACTCGACGAAAAGAATGTCTTATTTGAGCTCAAAGGGAGGAGCCAGAAGATCCAGGGGAACGGGCTGAGATAGAAAGAGCCTTGGATCAACTTGAATTTGCAAGATTAAAGGAAAAAAAATCGCTTTGCCGAGCAGATTAGCCCTCTGACTGAATCGGAGGAGGAACGACTAGTTAGAAGATTGTGGCACTGCAACTTGTGTGAACTTCCATCACCAAGTGAGATGGTCAAAATTATTATTTACCGCAGATTTGAGATTTAGGAAGAACCTCTATGATCAGGAGATAGATGGGTACTTGGTTGATTTACTGTATAGACAGAGGGTACCATATCTTACATTGGATTTATGGAGATAGAAACAGAATAGGGAGTGAGTTGCTCTAGTGGTGAGCACCCTCCACTTCCAACCAAGAGGTTGTGAGTTCGAGTCACCCCAAGAGCAAGGTGGAGAGTTCTTGGAGGGAGGGAGCCGAGGGTCTATCGGAAACAACCTCTCTATCCCAGGGTAGGGGTAAGGTCTGCGTACACACTACCCTCCCCATACCCCACTAGTGGGATTATATTGGGTTGTTGTTGTTGTAGAAACAAAATAGGGACGACTTATTTACAATTAAGTCTTATTTCAAGAGTCAGTTAGTTAGGGAGGAGTTGACTTTCCCATACCTTTCTACTTGGGTTCGCACGGCACCCAGAAAGGTGTGTTTGGCAGCAAGGAGAATGATACTGACAGCGAAGAACTTGAGGGTTGAGAAAGAGGAGGATGACCATGTTAGCTGGTGCTTCATGTGCAGATGTTTGGTGAGACGTAGACCATTTCCTATTACATTATTAGGTGGCTGTGAATTTTGGTTGGTAGTCTGGATTGGCTGGAAATACAGTGAGTGATGCCAAGTACAGCAGGCGTGTTGTTTAGTTGGGCTTTCAGAAGAAGAAAGAGATGACCGAGGGCATAGGATGTTGCTCTATTAGCCTTTGTGTGAGTTATGAAAAGAGAAATAAGAGAGCATTTGATGGGGTTGATAATGACTTTATAAAGTTGAAAAATAGACCTCTTGTGTCTATCTTCTTTTTTGTGTACTGATGAGATCCCGATTTCTTTTTTGATGTAGGTTTCTTTACTTTTTAGTATACATTTAACAGCTCTTTCTGATTTCAAACATCCCAACTGAGTCTGATGCGAGTAATTCATAATACCGATATGTTTAGATTGAGATTACTAAAACCACACAATTCTTGATTGACTCTGTCAGGGAACTAGATCACCCGAAGAGACTAGGGTCTCCTTGCAGCAGTGGCTTCCTAAAGAAGAATGGGTTTCCATTAATTTGCTGTTGGTACGTCTCTGCATCATTATTTATCTGAAGTACCATTGATTATCCCTCTTTCCCATGTCTTTTGGTCCTTGCTGTTGTAGCTCAAGTATATCTTAATTGCCACCTTTTTCCAATCAGTTCCAATTCAGACTCAATATGAAAGTTTGCTTATCCCTTCTTTGGTATATGCAGTTTAGCCTCTCTATTACAGACATGCTCTATAACAGCCAATTTTTCTTTGGAACTAATTTTCAAGCTATGTTAATAATATGTGTTTTCTATGACAATACTTCGCTATAATAAGCCAAAAATTATCCGGAACAAACGAGGTTTTATAGAGAGGTTTGACTGTGTTGAGCTAAGTAGCTAACATACGGGGCTTCATTTTAGATTCTCTAGTTGGCAGCACTAGCAACACAAAATGCTCTTTTTCTTTTGCTATCAGTTGAACCACATCATTATGAAAGCCGACAATATGAATGCTCGATCAGTCTCAAATTTCTCAAAAAGTTTGATTTGCAACCTAGAGCTAGAGTAATGTTTATGCTTCAGCTTTTGAGGTGTCTCTGGACCTGCACTCAATCGGTGGAAATAGGCATTAAACTGAAATCTTTTATTGTGTGTAGTATGAGTTATCCCTTGCTTCAGTTTCATGCCCATCTTCCCGTCCACATCGAACGAATGAGTTTTCTAACAGTTGGTGCGGATAAGACAAGTTGATTTTCTAGCGCGTAAAACTCTCCTTCAGCTATTTCCATAAATAAAGAACGTAAATTGTCTGTCGTGTATTGGATTACCCAATAATCATATCCACTCCCTAGGAGAGAAACTATTTTCCTGGTCTTCAATGTTTCTCCAATATTCATTTGTCAAAAAGGTAACACTTTGACTAATTTTTACGACAAAATTTTCAAATACTAACTTTGCCTCCAATACTCGACTAGTCAAAGTAAGGACAGGTCAGCTGAAGATGAATTCTCTTTTCTCGCGGATCCACGATTTGAACTTTTTGAGTTTGAGTTCCGAATTTTACTACATATCATTTGATTTACTAGTTTCGAAATCAATTATTTGTACTTCATGAATTACGGGATCCAAGTCAAAGCTACTGCTTTCGGATGAATCATGAACCATAATTTACACCTTACATCTGCCCCTCCCTCTCTGGTTATTTGTTACTTCAGTTTGGTGGCTATGGCCTTTACAGGTAGGCTTTGGACAGACCATATGTACTCCTCTGAGACCTCGCTGTGCAAAATGTACTGTAAGTCAATTCTGCCCATCGGCATTTAAGGAGATGTCAAGCCCAGCTTCCACTTCCAGAACACTAAGCCCCAAGAAGAAACATTGACAAGGCTGTTTCCTGCTACATGATCAATTTTTTCAAGTTCTATTCTTTTAATGATAAATGTCAACTTGAGCCCAAAGGATAGTTGATTGAAAAAAAAAACGTAACTTTTAGTACTTTGTTTTAAAAGTTTGTATAATGTTGGCCTAGGATGTATTGAAATGGGAAACACGGTGATTGAGGATTCATATAGCAGACCCCAACTTATTAAAGACTGAGGTGTAGTAGTTGTGGTATTCGTTGAACAAGTTAATTTCTACATAATTGGAGACAGACAATATTAGTTTTTAATCTAAATATGTAGAGTGAATTGTCGTATTATCTTGATTCCTAATTTCTCATAATATACTAGTTTGGGATTTTTGAAAATGAAACAAAACAAGGGTTTTAAACGCGAGAGTTTGACAAGCTGAAGGTGGTTCTATATTTTACTCCATTTTGGTTTGTGAAGCTAGGAAGCTTATTTGATCAAGGAAAAATGCGAAAAAGTACCCTTAAGATCGTTAAAACTATACCTGCCTATTTAAGTTTTATTTTCCAAGCCTTTTAGCTATGGCATGTGACCTAATATATATGTTTTAAAACTATTAAATTCAAGAAAAGAGGATTTTGTACTCTATTTTCTCAAATTATTATATCAAGTTCTGTATGGAGAGTAAGGTTGTACATGGGTCGGGTTGGTTCGGATTTTCTAATTACCGAACCAAGCCAATTGTATCGGGTTATTAAATTTAAATACCAAACCAAACCAATAAAAGTCGGGTTTTTGAGTTTTTTTGGTTTTTTTTCTTCATAAAGTCTTCATAGCACAAAACGTAAAATTTGTGCTCCAAATATTTCTTTAATCCTAATAAGACAGAACTATATAAGGTGTTTTTCAATAAAATAACATAAATATGAGATGAGTCGTGGCATTATACTAAAATATTCAACAATAAAAATAATAAAATCGCATAAAATAAATATTATTAATAAGCCATAATGAAAACAAACATAACTTATAATTATGACTAATAAGTACTATTATTTACATGACTAATCACTAAAAGAAAAATAAGTTATACATTTTACCTAAACCATGGAAAAATTAAAAAATAGATATCCAATACTATTTTCATTCATAGTACAATTGAATTGAATGTCTTTTATTAGTATTGATTTGATTTTGGTTTAGGATTTATTTGAGTTACTAACATTTATGGACTATAAAACTTATTGGAGCATCCAAAAATTATAAGCTCGAGTTTGAAATAATACGTTAAAAAATAAAACTATGAAAAAACTTAAGCAATATTTATAAACTACACTACCATAAATATTTTTATGTATTAAATATATTAAAAACTTCTATACATATAATGTCGGGTTGGTTTGGTTTCGGTTTGACTTTTTTTAGTTAAAACCAAACCAAACTAAATATGATCGGGTTTATTTTTCCAACACCAAACCAAATCAAACCAAACCATAGTCGGATTTGTTTTCTCGATTTGACTGGGATTATCGGGTTGGTGCGATTTGTCGGTTTTATTTGTACACCCCTAATGGAGAGGCATATGGACATGTCTGCAAAACGTAAAACTCTTTGAAAAAGTTAACCTTAAAATTCTGTAAAATGCTCATCGACCACATTAAACCAAATGATCGTTTTGAATTCTAGTTTTTCATGGGATGACTGCGTTAGACTCTTGTAATATAACTAAATGAGGCTCGTACTGCTCTAGAAAATCACCTATAACTTCTTTTTTCAATAAACTTTCTAGGTCGCATCTATTGATATTTCACGAAATAATTTATAAAATTATTTCATGGAATATTAATAAATGTGACCTGGAAACTTTCCGACGAACTTTGAACCTCTATTCATTGTGTTATGCTTTTTGCTTGAGAATAGACTCCATTGACTAATTAAGATATAATATAGTAGGATAAACTATATCAATATTAATTAATTTAGGATATTTGATTTGATGAAATTCATTTACAAAACGTCTTGATATGAAAATTTTATGGATTATAAATATTTGACATTAATGTTAAATTTTTCACGGTAGATCGGTTCTGGAAAATTTATCTAAGAATATGTTTTGATATGAAATATTTTATGAATTGTATGTTGGTAAAATTTCTATACAACACTATAATATTTTAGGCCACATGTGAAAAGTGTAGCCTAGACTATCAAAAAATATGGCCTTCACTCTTTAGTCAAAGGCTACACTTTTCAATTTAAGGCAGCGCATATTCAAGGGTGGCCTAAACACCCGTAACATTTGCTCTAAGGTAATGCTTGTGGTGAGGTAAAAGGCTACGGTTTACCAAAGACCTGTTATTCCCGCTAATATTGTTGTATTTGTAAATAATAATTCTGCAAAATATAAGTTAACGTAATGAAACAGTAATTAATTCGAGCCCACTGAATTCACAGTGTTTCCTTAAGGAATTTAATCCCCTCCTAGTACCCAAGGTAATGGATTATTTCCTCCCAGGATAGAACGAATCACACACTGGTGTAGCGGTACTTCAAACCCCAGTGT